CCTATATATTATGTTATGGTATAATTATCATGTTTAGTATATTGTTCTTATTGCGGTATGTTTGTATTTTCTAACACTTGTTCCAGAGGTATTTAAAGTGGCTGGTCGAGGATCTTACTGGGTTATATTTACGAATAACTCACTTTGTACTTGCATCTCTATGCAAATACCGTTGTGGGAGATAGAGTTAGTGGCTGACGAGTCTGTTCGAGTGGATCCTATTGCTGAGGTGAGCCACTACATTGTTCGTGGAGGCTTTCGTTTCAATTTTATCTAGTTCGTGTTAGTTATTTCCTTTTTCTTTAGGGTTTGTATACCCGTCAGTAAAACTCATTTTATTCTGTTAGATGCTCCACGGTCTTAGTGTGAAATTTGGGCTAGAGTTTTAGTATTTGAGTGATTGTTAGTTTTTTTGATCAATTAACTAAGGTATTGGGTGATAATTATTTTGTCTTTAATTATTAATAATACTTTTAGCTATGTACTTAATTGTTCTCCCAGTGTTTGAGTAAATGGCTAAATATTTGAAAAAAGGGGTTCGCCTGGCAGGTGGTGTTAGCTGGGTGCCAATCACGTCTAAGGAGTAGTTTCGAACGTGACAAAATAATGTGAGACTATAATAAAAAACTACAAAATATATAGAAAAATAGTGTTTCACTTTTCTTTAAATTTTATTTTCATCAATCAATCTAGACTATTATAAAAGTTTGGAACTTCAACGAGAAACTGTTCAACCTTTTATCATTTAAATAAATTTCATATTGGAAAAAAATTATCGTTTAATTATTATTTTTTAATATTTAGGGCATTAAATTTACTAAAATTTTGACTCTTAAATTATTTTTTTATTTGAACTATATAGAAAATCATAATATTTAGGAATGTAGTCCCAGTAAGATTATTATATAAGTCGAATAAGTTAACTTACACAAGAATCATAAATTTAGGAATTGTTATCTCACCCGGAATACCAATAATCTATGTGACATTAGAAGTGTTCCACTTCAAAATACCAAGAGATAAAAGCTTATAGCAAATTGTACAAAAACCATAAGCATGAGCTAACAACTATTTTCAGATTGCTAAAATTTTATATATTTAAGGTTGGTAATGTAAAAGTGTTAGCTATTTCACGATATTCTTTTATAAGAAAATGTTAATAAAATACTTTCCAAAAGTGTTATCATAGAGTTTTGTATCCTCTCGTAGTGTTGATAAATCTAACTAGCGGATAGATATTGCGCATAATCCCAGACAAATATCAAATTAGGGATGCGGTTAATTGATAAATGATGAAAAGTGCATATATTTTTTAGTATATTTGTATATTAATTCATGCATGAGTCGTGAGAGTTTAAGTGATTTTTGAAGTGAAATATCCCCATTATGTGTTTCTTATGTGTAGAAATGAGTGTGGATGATAAATGATCAAAATATGACAATTTGACAGAAAAAGGAAGAGATGAAAAAAAATTGGGAGCTCGTCAAATCTCGTACATGGAATGAAAATAGACGCGAAAAAAGAGAAAACTAAAGGCACAAAACAGCAAAGTGGAGCGAAGGTACGGATCGCTTCGCAAACAGGAAAATTGCAAAGCTGAGTCTGCGTCCATGGGCGCTCGAGGCGCGAAGGTAGACACGGATTTCAGCTCTCCTATCTGAGACTAAATTGTATTGGATGACCCTTCACCCTATGTAGGTCATATAAATACACGCTAAACAGTATTTTTACATAACTTTGGAAGAGGAGACACTACTTTAGGGTTACTCAACAAGAATACACTAGGAGCAAGGAGGAAGATTCAACCACTAGTTTTTCCTTTCTTCTTCGTGCTTTTCTATTGTTGGTTGTGAATTTTAGTATTTTCACATAATACTATGAGTATCTAATTTATTATTTAGGATTTTGATGGAACCTTTTGGAGGATGAATTCTTATTAAGTTAGAATATAATTTAGCCTTTGAATTTCTTTACTTGTTCAGCTACATGCTTATTTTTGTTGATTGAATGACCATCAATGTTACTCCTCATAGTATTATGTCGATGTTACACCCCGTAGTATTGTACGTTGGATTTGTCGTAAGATAATTGACATCATTTCAAGGACAAGATTTTTTTGAGGTTATAAGTATTATGCTATTTATAACAAGTGATAAGTAAAGTCGTGAAGGTCAGAGGGTAAACGAGTTAAAGAAAATGAATTTCGTCGAAGTTTGACATTTTGAGATAAAATATGGTCCAAGTTATAATACCTCATATTTATGGACTAGTATCATACTAGGTACCATATGACCATAATAGTAAGGTATATAAAATTTATTAGTATTTAAATAAATTGTGCGCTAGAATTAATTATGTGAATAATTGATTAATTGTGGGAATAATTATAATATTAAATAAAACTAAGTGGATAAGAACGTTTAATGGGCTGCCACGTGGCATTAAGTTAGGTCAAGGGTGGCACCAATGTGCATAGATGAGTCATAAGCACTTGAGGTGCCCTATTTACACGTGAAAGTGCAAGACCTATTCATTAAGCCTTATGTTATTCTTCTTTTGGCAATTTGAGATATAGAAGGGATGTTCAAGAGTTTCCTTCTATTATTGGGGATCCTCTTACCTTAGAACATAGCCAAAAATATATATACATAATGCTCCATATATTCAACAACATGAAGTATGCCATGATCATAAGAAGTACTTAGTTCTTGTTCAAAGAATTAGAAGGAGCAAAAGTTGTTCTTGGCAAGCTCAAGTAAAAGTGTTTGATAAATTCGTCAAGTAAGGTATGTTAAAGCTATCCCTTCTTTCCTTTTGGCATGATCCATACTATACAAACGAAATGAGCAAATGCACAACTCTCATAAATGACTCTATTCATAGAAGTACTAGAGGTGCCTATGTTCTTGATTCCTCACGTGTCTTAATATTATATCTTCTGTTCATGGGTCTCGGAAAATATGTAAGTTGATAAAGTTTACTTCAGGATATTAATCAAAGGCATATTGATCTTATGACATACCGAGAAATCTTATTAACTCACTTCTTATGCATTGCATTCAGTTATACATGCACATTGACCCATGACCAGATGGCGTTATATACGCGTATATATATGTATATGGGGTATGGGGAAAGGTTGTGGCGTTATATTATATACGCACCACCACCTGATCAGCTGGTATACGTTGATGATTTTTCCCACAGTGGCCGAGATGATATGATGGGATACCCTCAGAGGCTTGATGATGTTATGTATGCTATACCTATGCATGATATGACATTTATACGCATATGCATGACATTATAAATGTTTCATGATTCACAGAGCTATTCAGACTTACAAGTTGGGTCTTTTATTCCATGTTTCTTTCATGTCTATTGTATACGTCTTTTCCTGCCTTACATACTCAGTACTTTATTTGTACTGACGTCCTTTTTTGCCTGGGGAGGTTACGTTTCATGCCCGCAGGTTTCGATAGATAGGTTGAGAGTCCTCCAAGCAAGCTATCAGCTCAGCGGAAAGTGTTGGTGTGCTCCATATTTGTTTTGAGCTCTTCTTCATTTTTAAACCCTTTGCTTTTTTAAAGTCTCATTTTCTAATCAACAATGTAAAATTATAAGGTTTCCACTTCTCATATTTGTTTTTTTCTTGTGTGAAACTGGGAGTCGGAAACGACCTCTCTATCTTTATAAGGCAGGGGTAAGGTCTGCGTACACACTACCCTCCTCTGACCTCATTTATGGGAATATACCGGGTTCGTCGTTGTTGTAGTTGTTGTTGTGTGAAATTAGGAGTAGAAAAAGGCCTCTTACCCCCGGGGTAGGGTAAAGTCTGCGTACACACTACCCTCCCCAGACCACACACGTAAAATTACATAGGGCTGTTGTTGTTGAAACTGGGAGTAAAAAGAGTCAAGAGGATGAAGACATTTTGTCTTGTAAGGGAGTTGTAACACCATTGAGCTATGGACAACTTCCAACCTCCACGTTGTTAGGAGGTGGAAAATTCAGTATAGGACGTCCCAGATTAACTTGGAAGCTTAATCAACAAAATAAAATCTGGCATTTGAATTATGATGCATTTAAATAAGCACCTCTAAAACTGTCTGATACCTTGTTACACTGTTCTGACCTCCACATATCTCTACAAACACTTCTATAAGACTCTGAAGCCCCAAGCAACAATTGCTTAGAATCAAACCTTTGAGCTAGCTCAACCCCACAAACTGGATCTTGAAATTAAAATTGTACAAAACCATATAAGGATACAACAGGGGCGGAGCCATAAACCAAGTTACGGGTTCGGCAAAATTCAGTAGCTTCGATCCAAACTTTGTATTTATCTTTAAAAAATTATTTAACATGTATAAATTATTTGTTTAGAACCCAATAACTTTGAAGACTAGAATACTGAACCCACAAACTTCAAATTATGGCTTCACCCATGAATACAACTCATTTCGTCAGACAATGTGAGACATTCTAAAACCCTTCCTTCCCTCTGCACGCCAAGATAGGACATCTGAAGAGCGGACCATATTACATGATGCCAATGTCATATATATCGAGAATAGGGTGAATCTGGCTTTGAAGCCCATATCAGGAAAATAGGCCTTAGATCTAATTAACCCTGAAAATTAGCTCATGAGATGAGTTGCCCAAGATTATATAAGAAGATAACAATACAATCCTTTAACCACTGTGGAACATTCTTACACTGATTCTAGTGATAACCATAAGGATATAAATACAGGTGGGGCGCAGTAGATATTAATACTACGGTCAAAATCTTATGACGAGTCAAGCAAGGTTATGGCCATGTATTTTTACCTACCTGAAAATTTGTTCTAGCATCTCACCTTTTCAACTTACTTGAAATTGAGGTATAATTGTTTTGGTTGTATCTCAGTATGACGTCTTCAATAATAAGGGAAAAAGAAAAATAAATTACACAAGAGAGTTTTGATGCTGCCATTTAGAAACATAATCCAAGTCATGAAACGAAAGGATACTTCCTGTCAGCCCTGCTAAGAAGCAGAGATCACTATTGACTAAAGAGTCCGACAACTATATAAATCTCATGATCTTTTAAAGATTCTACTCAATTTAAGGCTAAAATTATTTCGTAATTAATCAAAGAACATTTAATTACAATAATAAATACTAGGACATATTAAGGGGAAAAAAAGGTGAAAGGAAAAGCGTGAATCATCATAATGCCTAGGTAATTCAATTCTATACAAAGGTTACAGAAGAAAGTCATTTACAAAAAGTATTTCATCCTGTCATCTTTTCTCATGGCGTTGTATACAGCTTGAACCTGGAGAGTGCAATGAAATTGCATGTCATTATAATGAAAACGATGGAGTAGATTGTCGCATTTAAGGTGCAATTGATATACCTGCTCACTAGAAACAACTTGAATTGGCCCAATGTTCACTGATACATATTTTCCCCCTGAAGATAACTTCTGCCTCACCTTGCCCTGCATAGAAAAGCAGAAACATCTCAAATTTTGGATCAATTCACACACACACACAACAGCGCACACACGAGTATGCATACACATAGGGGGTGGTTTGGTACGATAGATAAACAAAAATGATCTTGGGAATAAAATTTAGTACTACCTTATCCTTGTAGTTAATAATCCTGGGATAAGTAATCTCATAAGTAAAAATAGTATCCAGATACTCGTACGAGATGGAATAGTTATCCAAGGATAAAGCAGTAAAATTGACAATCTCAGGATTAATACAACATACTAAACAGTCAATAAAAAATAATCTCAGTATAACTAATCTCAGCATAACTTGTCTTCAAACCAAATGATCCCATAGTATTTGATATACACACAATATTTGATCTTTCTGCTGTTTAAATAAAAGACGCGTGCAAGAATAGAATAGTGCATTTTGCACTTGCCACTATGGTGTTTAGAAGTCAATAATTTCAGATTTCCATGATATAGAGCTGCAAACCTACATTTTTTTAACCAAGTCCTCATATCCTCTCCATACACATGTACCTTTGTTTCTATGAATGCATCTTCATTTATCCTATTCCTTTGTACTTTTTCACTCTTTTCTTTTTTAAGGAAATACAATTGTATAGAAATTGGAAGTTACTATATCAAGATTCTATGTGAAGTTTTCACGATTCAAGCAGGTTTCGAGCTCAAATCCTGAAGATAATTCCAGAAAGAGAGAACTGGTTAGGGAGAAGAAAGGAGAGAGAAGATAGAAGAAATTTAAGGGAAAGATAATTGTGATTTAATTCCAGAAAGAGAGAACAGGTGAGGGAGAAGAAAGAAGGAGAGAGAAGATAGAAGAAATTTAGGGGAAAGATAATTGTGATTTCATTCATCTCCAAAATACCCGTTACAATACAACTAAATAGCTGTACAATTCAGCATAGGATCCATGCATTCTAGTACTAACCTTCTCCTACTTAAGACGTGTTTCGCAATTCCCCTACAACAGAAATTACACGGACTGAAAAATAAATAACGAAAATTACTGCTTAACAACTTAAGGGACCAGACTGGAATTCAAATAATTATGAAAGAACAGAACAGACTCTTCTCCAATAGCTCGAATCATGGCATTCCATCCTCCATTTTGAGAACCTTGTCCTCAAGGTTCAAAATTAGGAAATTGGGACTTGAGGAAATTATAATCCTCCCAGGCAATGCACCAGAACCTGAACAACAACAACCCAGTATAATCCCACTTAGTGGGGTCTGGGAGGGTAGTGGGGTAGAGAGGTTGTTTCCAAATAGACCCTCGGCATCCTTCCCTCCAAGAACTTCCCACCTTGCTCTTGGGGAGACTTGAACTCACAACCTCTTGGTTGGAAGTGAAGGTTGCTTACTGAAAATGTTGGTTTATGTTTAGTTAACAATGACATGCTGAAAATGTTGGTTTATGTTTAGTCAACAATGGCATGCCAATTGGAAGAGTTGGTGGAAAGAGTTGGTGTGGATGCTAGGAGGAAGCTTCCTCCTTTGATGTCACCCATGACGGCGTCTTCACAAACAGAATTCTGGTGCAGACAAGAGCCAACAGAATTCTTTGCAAACACGAAAAGCGCTGGACAGTGTTATAATTCGAGGGTTTTGCTCATTCTTCATTATTTGGAGATTTGGAGCTCGGCTAGAGGCGACTTTTGGAGGGATTTTCACCACACTTTGGAGGGTAAGTAAACTCTACTTGATTTTGATGTTAAACCTTGATTCCCTATTGTTTTGTGCACTTGGAATATGGATTTGAAGGAGAAAAACTGGGGTTTTGTGCTAGATTATGGAGAGATTATTTGAAATTTGAACCCCGATTCGAAGTTGGATTTTGGTGAAACTTGTATATTTGGACTCATATTGAAATGAGTAATTCGAATTTGTTGGGTTTTGGGATGCGGACCCGGGTTGACTTTGTGTATTTGATTAAAAATCGAGCCTTTATATTCCATTATTGTTTCATATAGCATTATTTGACACTGTAGTGCGTTATTTGACTAGATTCGAGCCGTTCGAAGGTCGTTTCGCGTGAGAAGGCATTTTTGGAGTATTGACTTGGCTCGTTTTGAGGTAAGTATCTTGCCAAAATTTGGTTGAAGCGCTAGTTGCTTGAGTTATTGATGTTTGCTACATATTGAGGGTGGCGTACATGTGAGGGTTTGAACCTATGTGCGTGCACCGGGGTTTATCCATGTTCGGGGGTAGTTCTTGGGCTATGTTATGCCTTGTTTCGGATATTGTAATTCTTGATATCATGCTTTATATGATCGTATGACTACTTAACCTCGTAAATCATGCTAAATATCATGCGTAGGTTTGCTTTAAATCATCGTCAATCTCAACACTTATGTATTTTTGGATTTCGGAGATTAACCTGATGGATTTTCCGTTTTGGGGACAGTTCTTTGCAAAGTGACCTATTTTCCCGCATGTGAAACATGAATTAGGCTTTGTTCTTGCAAACCTGTTTGTTTTGCGCTGCCTGAAATATTTCTTTCTTTTTCTGAACATGCGTCCCTCCCTTTCCTGTGTCGAGGAAGTTTGAATCGTTTAAACTTCCTTCTTTTGTGTGTGTTGCAAGCTGTGCAACCTTTGTCCTTTGTGATGAGATCAGCTTTGCCGCATGACAGATAAGAATAATTTCCTTACTTCCCAAGATCTTTCTTGAAACATAGGAATAATTCATTCTTATTTCTGTGGAAGTCAAAGTCACAACAAAGAAGATCTAAGAAAACTGATCTTTGAAATGAAGTGTCAACAGGAAAATTACGAGAAAACTTGCAGCCTTAGAATTTCACTAAGAAGGTATGCCTGATTACTGGGCTTCAACGGCTCACTCAGCCTATAACCAAATCAAAGGCCTTTGTCTTAGATTAATTCATAAGCTTCTGGTAATCACTCATAGTGAGTAATCATTTCCTCTATGATTTGTTATTATTTTTACACAGTGTAAGGATCAACCATCATATTTAGAAAAGTAAAGAACAAGAGAGGGTTTTAGAAGGCAAACATTTTTTATTTCACACTTGATACTTTACAGGGAGAGAATTCGATGATCTTCCTGAGCTCTAAAGGTTTCCATTTATAGGTGAAGGAGATGACTCCATAAAAGTAATACAATCCATGACCTTATTGCTTACTTCAGAGAGCAATAATGGTCGATAAGGACTGACAAAAACTTAAAAGTAAAAGACTCAATAATACAGTTGTGACCTCATTGCTTACATTGAAGAGCAATAAGGACTGATAAAGAAAGACAAGGGGTGGGGTCCCTATGCCTCTCAATTATTTCACAAGACTCCAAAAAACTTTAAAAGCTAAAGATGACTTAAAGTAAAGCCACCAAAAAGTCATAAAATAAAAGTAGCTTTAGGCTAATAATTCATAAAGAAACGAGACTTCTTAATGATAAGAAATCTTCTTGCTTAGATGTAGACTTCGGTAGACCCACCAGATGTCCATGATGGTGTTGATGGTTTTGTGGTGTATCCTTCTTCAATCCACGATCCACCAGTCTTCGCCATGAAGGCACTTGTACCTGTTTTTCTGCCTTCACTTTTTTGACCTTTCCACTAGTTTTCCTTTTCTTTTTGGAGAATCTTCTTTTGCCTTTTCAAAACATTCTGTAGCTTTTATGCGGGCCATCATTTCTGCTTCTTCAGAACTGGTTCTGTGAGCTTGTGCTAAAGGCACAGTATCAATTTCATATTGGCTTAACTCAATTTTTGAGTCAGCGGAATAAGGATCTTGGGCATCTTGGTTCCATATCACATCATTCTCATGGTACTCCTTCATTGCATCTTTAATCCACTGATAATGAGAGGACGACCCATGCATGTAGTAGAATAATTCCAACTGGCTAATGGTCCTGGCCATATCTCTTTAGGAATACATTTGTTTTCCTGAAAGATAAAGCGTTGTAGCTCAGAGTATTCTTCATCGTTGTCAAGAATAGAAACTCTATTCCATTTTAGTATGCTCAAATGTGGTAGAGGAAAAGACTTTTCTTGATGAATATGACCATGTGGAACCACATAGTAACATATTTCTTTAAGCCAGGAATGTTTTTGAATAGCGAAATCCAATAATTATGATTGTTGAACCATAATAAGAATTTTTGTATTCAGGGATTCAGCCGGTGGAATTTCCTGAATTTGCCGCTTTTAAACTCCATAAGAATGTGATAATGATTTAGTAAATACCAGAACATCCATAATAATTCTTCCGGGAATTCTTGGGGATTTGCCACAAAGATATGGGCAAATGGATACTCTGGATTTACTCCAAATGGCTTTAGTATGGAGCCTCCATACTTTCTGAAAACTTCTAGCTCATAATGGGTCCTTCTTTCAAGGAGTCTCAGACTGATGTATCCCAAGGATATGATAAATCCTGTATTTCTGGGGGATTTTCTGGAATGTTAATGGAGGATTGCTGACTCGAGCTAGAACCTTGGTGATTTGCTTTTGTACTTGTGCTGGATTTTGAAGTTTTTGAACTAGATCTCGTTCTGCCCTGGTACATAAAGACTTTTGGTGGTACCTTCTTCTTGAACCTTTGAGAAAATTCACGGGGTCTAGATAAGAAATCGGCAAGAATATTGTCTTTGCCCTTTAGATGCTTGACCTCGAACTTGTATAGTAAAAACCATTGAGCCCATCTGAGAATTTGAGAATTGGGGATGATCTTTGGATTGATCTGTATCATCTGTGGAAATGCCTTCATGTCCATTTCAACGAGAAATTCTGTATGGATCAGAAAGAAATTGAACTTCTTTATTCCCATTTTGACAGCAAGAATTTCTTTGAAGGTGGAATGGTAGTGTTCAGCATCTTTGAATTTTTCACTCGCATATCCACAATTTTTTCGCTTTCCTTCATGTTCCTCTAATAGTGTTGCACTCCAGTATTGATCACTTGCATCTGTTTGCAACACCTTCTTCCCGTCTGGGATGTGGAGTTTTTTGGGTTGCTGAGATACGTGTTTCAGCTGTTTGACCGCATCATCTTGTTCCTTGCCCCAAGCTGGTGGTTTTTTCTTCAACATATTTCTAAGAGGAGTAATATATTTAGAGACTTCTTGAATAAAATCTCGAACATAATTGACAATCCCTAAGAATTGCTAGATCTGCTTGGCTGAGAGACTTGTATCTGGAAATTTGAGAAGCTCTCTTAATATATGGGGGCCTGGACTGAAAGAACCTTGGGTGAATTTCATTCCCAAGAACTCAATCTTTTCCTGTGCAAGAATCATTTTTTTTGCTGATAGCATAATACCAATTTTTTTAACCAATTCTATGAACTAATTAAGTAATTTGAAATGTTCTTCAATGGAATTACTGAATAAGAGAATATCATCAATATCAACCAACGCTGAGTTAAGAATAGGTTGGAATATTTTGATCATGGCTTTCTGGAATAAGGATTGTGCTGTCTTTAAACCAAAAAGCATTACTTTCCATTGGAAGTGGTGGTCCAGTATGCAAAACCCGATTTTTGATCTTTCATCTGGATGAACTCCGAGTTGCCAGAAACCTGATTTTAGGTCAAAATTGGAAAATATCTTGGCTTTGGCGAGGTGTGAAAATAAGGTAAGCTTATTTGGAATGGGAAACTTATCATCTTGCAGAAAGTAGTTTAGAGGTTGATAATTGATTACCACTCTCAGCTTTCCTCTGATCTGTTCTGATCTTTTGTTGACATCACATGCCCACTGTGAGTCTGTTAGTTCAATTAAGCCAAAGTTGAGTAGTTCTTCACATTCCTTATTGCAGTTTCAAATGTTCTTAGATCATTCCAGAATGCCTTGCCCTTGTGGGGTTGATGTTCTCATTCTTCTTGAATGGCAGATTGATGTAGAATTCTTCATTTTTTCCATAGAGGAGTGCCACACCTTTTGAGGAAGTCTATATGAGATTCTGCACAGAGTTGTTGCTTGATTTGCTCACCAATCTGCATGAGTTGGTCATCTTCAGTGACTTGGAATAGTCCGGAGATGTTGCCATATTCATTGAACTAGTTTTTGAATCTGATCCCGTCAGCTCCAACTAGGAGTTTGTTCTTGAGTTTACTGTATAGATCAAAGGCAACGATCAAATCTTTTCCAGGAATATCGGATCCAAGGATGTTTGACCTGATTTTGAGTCCCGGAAAGAATTCAATTGTGATTGGGTGTCTTGTTTTAACAGTTGTTGTCAAGACTCCTTGGGATGCTGTTCCAAAGTTTCTGAAATGGGGTATCCAACATTCTTCTGGGAGTATGGACGGATCCATGATCGAGTATGCTGCTCCGGTATCATAGAAGGCTATTACGGAGATAGGTTTATCCCATTTCATAGGACACACTTTTACCTCTGTTTGAGGAACTGTGGTGATACTGAAAATTCCTTCTTCCGAATCTGATTGATTTACAGTAGCATCGTCTGTTGCATCAGCTTCTGGCCCATCAATATGAGAAATATGGTACATATGATTTCCATATTCTTCATAGATTTCTAGTGAAAACCGAGTATCTTCACTTGGCTCTTCCTCCAGTGAAAATACTGATTCTAAATCATCGTCAATCTCAACACCCATGTATTTTTGGATTTCGGAGATTAACCTGATAGATTTTCTGTTTCGAGGACAGTTCTTTGCAAAGTGACCTATTTTCCCGCATGTGAAACATGAATTAGGCTTTGTTCTTACAAACCTGTTTGTTTTGCTCTGCCTGAAATATTTCTTTCTTTTTCTGAACATATGTCCCTCCCTTTCCTTGTGTCGAGGAAGTTTGAATCGTTTAAACTTCCTTCTTCTGTGTGTGTTGCAATATGTGCAACCTTTGTCCTTTGTGATGAGATCAGCTTTGCTGCCTGCCTTGTTCAAATCTCGAGACATCTTCTTCATTTGGTTGAAGAATTGCCTTTTGCTGCAAAGGTCATCTAGCACATAAAAAACAGCTTGCCTTATGTCACCAACATTCATGGCAGTAGCAGATGTACCACGCTCCTTTAATAAGGTTGAGATTCTTTCAGATAGTATTGGTGCGAGTGAAGAGATGAAAGCTTGTTTCAGAGAAATGTCTCCGCCAATATGATAGAATAACTTGATCATCTTTTGGAGATGATGATCAATCTTTTTCTGTCATAGGATTGACACTTTATTTCAAAGATCTGTTTTCTTAGATCTTCTTTGTTCTGTTCCACAGACATAAGAATAAATTATTCCTATATTCCAAGAAAGATTTTGGGAAGTAAGGAAATTATTCGTATCTGTCGTTCCAACCAATGCCCACCATTCACGGAGTGTTCCAGATAATCTTGCTGTGAATTCTGACAAGATTATAAAAGGTTCTCTTTCGACCAACTGCTTTGTTAACATCCAAGTATAAAAATCTTGGATTCTTTCTGGCCATTTTTGGATGGGAAGATCATCCAAAGTGAAAGTATGAAATCCCGTACCCACCATCCTTGGTGGTGTGATTTCTGGCCTACTTTCAAGGATGGGTTCTGCAGTCATGCCTTCTGCATCATCTTTGTTAACCTCCAAGTATAAAAATTGATACTCTGCCTTTAGCACAAGCTCACAGAACCAATTCTGAAGAAGCATAAATGATGGCCCGCATAAAAGCTACAGAATGTTTTGAAAAGGAAAAAGAAGATTCTCCAAAAAGAAAAGAAAAACAAGTGGAAAGGTCAGAAAAGCGAAGGCAAATAAATAAAAATAGGTACAAGTGTCTTCATGGCGAAGACGGGTGGATCATGGATTGAAGAAGGATACACCACAAAACCATCCACACCATCATGGACATCTGATGGGTCTACTGAAGTCTACATCTAAGCAAGAAGATTTCTTATCTCGTCTCTTTATGAATTATTAGCCTAAAGCTACTTTTACTTTATAACTTTTTGGTGGCTTTACTTTAAGTTATCTTCAGCTTTTAAAGTTTTTTGGAGTCTTGTGAAATAATTGAGAGGCATAGCCATAGGGACCCCGCCCCTTGTATTTCTTTGTCAGTCCTTATTGCTCTTCAATGTAAGCAATGAGGTCACAGCTGTATTATTGAGTTGTATTATTGAGTCTTTTACTTTAAGTCTTTGTCGGTCCTTATCGACCATTATTGCTCTCTGAAGTAAGCAATAAGGTCATGGATTGTATTACTTTTATGGAGTTATCTCCTTCACCTATAAAAGGAGACCTTTAGAGCTTAGGAGGATCATCGAATTCTCTCCCTAGATTTATCCAGTGTGAAATAAAAAATGTTTACCTTCTAAAACCCTCTCTTGTTCTTTACTTTTCTAAATATGGTGGTTGATCCTTACACCGTGTAGAAATAATAACAAATCACAGAGGAAATGATTACTCACTGCAAGTGATTACCAGAAGCTTATAAATTAATCTAAGACAAAGGCCTTTGATTTGGTAATAGGTTGAGTGAGCCGTTGAAGCCCAATAATCAGGCATACCTTCTTAGTGAAATTCTAAGGCTGCAGATTTTATCGTAATTCTCTTGGTTATCTTCATTATTCCCCCTTGTTTTGTTATTATTCTCTAAATCTTGGTACTACGGCGTAAACGCCTAATTTGAGCAATATTTGTACACTTCGCACATGCATACACGTTATTATGCTATTTGATCAATCCATTGTTTTGATTGATGAGTCGCGAGCCCAGTGTTTTGAAAAGCGCGTGCTTTGTCGCTTAAAGCGCGAAGCGACGGGCGACTCGATCTGTAGAAGCGCACGCTTCACTGGAAAACGCGATGAAGCGAGGCAGCGGAGAAAGTGATGAAGCGATCGCTTTTGTGAAAAAAACGCATGGGGCCTTTTTTTTAAAAAAAAACTTTGGGTCTGAGACAAAACAGACCCTAAATCGACAATCCCCTTCACGAACAGCTTCTTCGACAAAAAACAGAGGCTCGAACAAAAACAAAAGCTAGGGTTCCATCTTCTTCTTCTTCAGTCGCTCGAGTTCTCGACCAGTCGACCTCGAAGCCCTTCTTCAATTCTTCTCGCGGCTCGACCAGGTAATTTCTTCTCTTTCTTCTTCAGTTCTTCACGTTTTTTTTCATTCTTCTTCTTCTTCTTCTTTCTTTCTCTGTTTCTACAGTCCAGAACAGAGTAAGGTTAAGGAACCATTTTTCTTTCTTTTTCCTTTTCGTTTGTGTATATTTCATCATATATATTTAATTATTATATGTATTTCATTTATTATTATATTTCAGCATATAAAATTAAATTATTATTATATTTCAGCATATAAAATTAATTATATATATGTATTATTTTTAGTTTATGTGATTTTTTAAATGTATATTTCAGTTTATATAATTAATTATTATATATATTATATGTATTTTCAGTTTATTGATTATGTTTTTTCTTATATCTTAATAGGGATATTAAAATGTCTCAAAGTTCGAAAGAGNGTAAAATGTCTCAAAGTTCGAAAGAGAAAGACTCGGCTTGACGATATGGCAAGAGAGTTAATGAGAAGAATACAAATGTTGTATGCAAGTTTTGCAACAAGATTACAACGGGTG